TGTTCTTCTATGCTTAATGGGTTCCTAATGCTTAATTTTAGGTTAGACAACAAATGATCAAATTAGGGAATTAGGAACACAAGGTTATGACCACACACCATGGCTTAATCATACTTTAGCTAGAATCAATCCATTAATCTAAATTGAACTTGGGAACTTATTTGCTTGAGTTACTTATTTCTTTCTTCCTTGTTTTATGTTCTTTGTTTTTGTTTCTATTTTGTGTAGGGAAACTAAATTGGATCATTCAATCACCAATCCCTGTGGAATCGACCTCGCACTTACATATGCTATACTACCAACGGTTCGTGCACTTGCGAGTATCACAAGTTGAGGATGCAGCTAAATCCATTTTGGTGGAGCTAAATCTACACAACAGATCCCTGCCGTGATCTGATTTCCACATGACACCACCAGAGCCAACCTATGAAGAAACCAAGCAAAAGCCGCTGAACTCGTTCATCAGATATTAACCCCTTTGACTTTGAGTTAACAAAAAATAAAGTGTTCAATGCATCATCAAATGTTATAAAAGCAAGACTGCATCTTGTTTGCTGCTATACACTAATTGTTAGAGTATGTAGAGCTAGGATTGTGACAAGTGTCACTTAGTCATTGATTGATGTTAGAGTTAGTTAGTAAGTTGTTGTAATCAGTTGGAGCCTTATAAAGCTTAACTCTCTGTATTGTATGGTTCTTTGAGAAAATAATACAGATTTGTTCATTTTCTTCTTAATTCTCTCTCTACTTCTCTTTTGTTAACATGGTATCACGAGCCATGGATCAATCCTGTGTTCTTCTGCTTCCGCTTTCTATGCCCTGACATTCTTTTCTAGAACTTCATGGAAGTCGACGTCTATATCTGATTCTTCCACTTCATTCTTGAATTATCAATTTCATCCACCAGTCCACGTTTGAATGCAAGGAGTGCTTGCCTTTCCTTCTCGATGCACCTCCTGGTCGCGTTAGTAATCCTCTGACTGTGGTCCACCTCTCCTCCTTGGGCGTACTGTAGCAAAAGCAGCACAAATGCAAGAAAGAGTTTCAAGCATCTTCCGTGGCCCTCCATGTTAAAAGATTGAAATGCAAGATCAACAGGAACCAATTGTTTAGGGTTTAATTATTGATATATGGTTATCTCTGAGCTTGTATCACAATATATAGGGGAAATCTTTACGAGCTTGAATAGTATGCATAAAACTCCAAACAACATACAGGCCCTAGGGACATAATTATTGACTTAGACTTTTCTTTTTCTTTTTTCTTATTTGTTGTGTCTGAGCCACAACAAATAATGAAGCCACATATTTATACAAGATAAACACACAAAACATGGAATTGAATGAAGCACAGAAAGAATGAATGTGTGATTAGTAGACAAGATTTTGAGTCATAAAAATGAGAAAAAGTGACCCACTAGCTGAAGATTCAAGTTGTCTTTTTTTTTGGGGGGTCAAATGATGAAATTTCATTACGAAAAACTCACCCAAAAGGATGGAACAGATAAACAAAACTAAAAATTAATTAAAACAAAAAACAAAAAAAGCTAGATCAAGTTAATATCAGGCACAATTGTTACTTGTACCCTAAATGCCAACTTTTGTGAATTTTCATGGTTGGGCGGGCCCTATCTAATGCATTCATACTGTTGGTTTGGTAAGTGTATTTTGAATTGAATTTTTTTTTTCATTCACACTGCATGAATGAGATCGATGTATATATTTGCGGCTTTTGCTTTGTTGATTAAATTACTATAGTTGGAATTTATATATCAATGGGAGAAGTCTGAATAAATTGTTCTTAAAAGTAGTTAAAAATAATACAAAATCATATTTATTCCTACTAAGCACTCGAAATTAACTCATAATCTTCTGTAGATATTTGTGCAAGACACAGTAACAAATCATTATTATGATTAAAAATAAAATTAAAAAAAGCTCAAGTTTGACAACAAAACTTTGGGATGGGAGAAAATAAAAGAGAAAATTAATTGGCTTTCATGGCAAACAATTGTTTCAAGTTCTTACAAATCATTTACCACTACATAATTGCTTACAAACAAAGACACAGTAAAAAATCTTTATTAAGGAAATTCCCACTACATAATCTAAAACTTGAAACTTCTGCAGATACATAATTGCTTCCATGGCAACTATATGCACTCTTCAAGTCAACTAAAGCTGCAAGTAAACAAGAAGAATTCATAACTTGCCTCCGCAAGTTTTGAAAGGACAGTTAATAACTTAATTATGATGTAAAAACAGAAGAATTCATGTACTTACAACTTATCTATTAAACATATCCTTTAGTTGCCGCTTGATCATAGCTACTCGCACATAAAGCCAATCATTTAAACCATTCAGGAACTTGAAGTATGCGTATCTCCATGACCTCTTGAATATCAAAGTGCCGCAAACTCCCCAAAATCCAGCAGCAAACCCAAGCCCCATACTGATGTAAAATCCCAGTGTTATAAGCTCATCCTTATCCTTATCTTGATTGCTTAAGTCAGTTTGCACATTTTGATCAGCACACATCTTTTTAAGTGGAGGTCCACAGAGTTGAGGATTTCCAGCATAAACAGAGGGATCAAAGCCTTGGAGCTGAGTCCCGATTGGAATTTCGCCAAATAAGTTGTTAAATGACAAGTCCAAGAAACTAAGACGATCGATCCGCGAAAGGCTTGTTGGAATTCTTCCTTCTATCTGGTTTCTTGACAAATCAAGGGCATCCAGTGACTGCAAGTTTCCAATCTCTGGAGTGATTTGACCTGTTAATTGGTTTCCCGATAGGTTTAAAGAAACCAACTCAACAAGATGAGTGATTTCACTTGGAATCTCCCCTGTTAATCTATTGCTTGACAGATCAATTCTCTTCACAAATCCCAAAATACTTTTGTACATCTGCATTCTTCCTTTCCATATGAAGGTGGCATCATCCTCATATAGATAATAACGTTTCTTCTTAACATATATGAAAGGAAAAGTATGCACGCTGGTTAGACTTGAATGTACTTTCTGAGACAGAGCTGTCAAATTGTTGAGGCATGGAGGTATGCTTCCAGAGATGTTGTTCATTGAGAAATCCAAATTTTGAATTCGTATTAGATGGCATAATTGTGAGGGCAGGCTTCCGTTAAAGTGATTAGACCAAAGCATCAGGATAACCAAATTCTTTAAGCTAACCCCTAACCATTCGGGTATTGGTCCGGATAATTTATTATCCCCAACATCAACGACTCTTAAACTTGTGCAATTTTTCAACGATGAAGGCAATTGTCCCACAAATCTATTGCTTCTTAATTTGAGTGTTTCAATCTGAAATACAGAGCCTATTGTTGTAGGAATTTTCCCGGACAAAGCATTGTAACTCAAATCAAGCATGACTAGACTCTCTAAATGTGTCAAGCAATCTGGAACTAGTCCAGAAACATTGTTTGTTGAGAGGTTAAGAAAGCCTAAACGAATAGCTGCACCTGAACACAAGAACGAAATTGACCCGGAAATTTTATTATTAGAGAGATCCAGATATGAGGCTTTTAATAGAACTGAGGGGATTGGACCTTCCAACTTGTTCGAACTCAGATCCAGATATGAGGCTTTTGATAGAAATGAGGGGATTGGACCTTCCAATTGGTTCGAACTCAGATCTAGTGCAGGGGAATTTGAAAATTCCAATGTCAAATTTGCAAATGTACCTCTAATATGGTTGTTTGTGAGATTCATAAATTTCACATTACGACATGAACTCCAAAACCAACTAGGAAGGATGTCGGAAATTCCAGCATCAGAAATATCAAGGTATGATAAAGAAATTTGAGTTTGAAGCCATTTTGGGAAATCTGGACCCATCTTGCAAGACCTCAACATTATACTGTCCAGTTGGAAAGGAGGAATCCAATCAGCATGGATGTCTAAAACTAGCGAGTTAGAAGATAGATCCATAACATGTAATTTGGAGAGTTTTGAGAAATGAATTCCTGAAATTACTCCACTTAATTGATTGTTACTAAGAAACAAGAATCCCAAAGATGAAAGGTTTGTAAGATTAGGTAATGACCCTGCAAGTTGGTTATGAAGGAGATAAAGATGTGCCAAAGAGCCCATGTTTCCAAAAACATCAGGAATTGAACCGGCTAAAAGGTTAAAAGAGAGGTCAAGATAAACAAGGCTGGTATAGTTGGACAACCATAGAAATATTGAGGAAGTACTCAAATGGTTGAGAGAAAGATCAACGCTAACAAGAGATTTAGAAGAGTTTATGTAAGAAAGAGTGGAAAGAATTGGAGAAGGAAGATCACATCCCTTTAGTGCCAAGTTTGTTAGTTCAGGAAGCTTATTAACGGCTTCCAGCCAATCGAAAACATTGCTGAGATTCGCGGAACTCAAGTCCAAATATCTTAACAACGAAAGAAGAGGAAGGCAATCGAGATTTTCAACATTTGTAAAGTCATTACCACTTAAGTCCAGATACACCAAGTTTGTAAGATTTCCGACCTGACTTGGAAACTTGCCTCCAAAATTAGTCGAAGACAGAGCAAGGTATCTTAAATTGGTTAGAGAACCAAATAATTTTGGAAATTGGCTCCCATTGAAATCAATCTCAGTAAGGTCCAAATGTTGTAAATGCTGCAACTCAATCAGTTTAGGACTAATCATCTTACCTTGCAAATTATAGAACTCGCTATTGTATGAAAGATCAAGTTGAATAACATGACCTGTTTGGTTGCTGCAATAGACTCCAATCCATCTACAACAATCTTGTTTCTGGGCTTCTGAACCCCATGAAGAGAGGGAATCAGACTTATCCACCAGGCCACGTTTGAATGCAAGGAGTGCTTGCCTTTCCCTCTCTATGCACCTTCTGGTCACGTTAGTATCCCTCTGACTGTGGTCCACCTCTCCTCCTTGGGCGTATTGTAGCAAAAGCAGCGCAAATGCAAGAAAGAGTTTCAGGCACCTTTCGTGACCCTGCATGTTAATAGATTCAAATGCCAATGGAATATATGTCGAATAGGCACAACTGTTTAGGGTTTATGAAAATGGAATATAATATAATGTCGAAGATGGAGCACAACCAAAGCACTTGCACATGCAAACACTGAAAGTACATTGATATATGGTTGTCTCCGTGCTTCTCCATATATATGAGAAACAAAAGGAAAGCCTTCACAAATGAAAAGTATGCATATGTAATTAGTTGAAAAGCACGGTGTAAGCTAAACAGAGCAACATGTTCCGAGAAAACCATAAGAAGGAGTCCGTCAATTGTGGCTCCACAACAATGATCTAATTCATTTAGTAATCGAATGACTCATGGAATTATTCATTTGGAATACAGAATATTGATTGAGTTATAGTCTATGCATAAAGTTAGGTAAAATTAAGGAAGTTCCGAGAAAGTGATGAGTTGGCGGGTGGGACTAAAGGCTACCCTTTGTTTCAATATCATTAGACAAGCCCCTATATTTCAATAGGAAAATGCTAGAGGCACCAACTTTGGGCACTACCTTGGGCACCAACTCTCTAATAGAGCATGGGACCCGTTGTATTGGCGGGCTCCACCTCTATTAGAGAGTTGGTACCCAAGGTGGTGCCCAAAGTTGGTGCCTCTAACACCACCTATTTCAATATCATTTTTGTTTTATATTGGAGAGAAGTTTTGAAGGTGCGGTAAATGGAACCCAACTTTGTTTTATTTTATATTGGAGCAAGTTCTTGACAAATACGTTTCAAATTATTAGATAGTACTACTAGAATGCCGGCCAATTCTTAACAAATAAGTTTGCTATTTTTCTCTATTGACTTACATTTTTAATAACTCGAACTGACTTGCAAAGTATTGACTCGGCTTTGCTTCATTGAAATTATCAGGATAGAGATGTGGGGGGGAAATCCGACCGATCCCGTTGCCATCCTCAATTAACTTCACTCAGTAATTGAATCGATCTTGGAATTATTTATCTGGCAGTTGGCCACCATATTAATTTACTTAGTTTCGGCATAAAGGTAGATTCCTAGCTAGCCTTATTCATGGTTTCTTATTGGTATTAATAATAAATGTGGTTGCCATTGGTTGTGCTTAGTTAGGCTTTAGTTCGCACGTCTCTGTCTGATTATAATGTATACATGGATATAAATATTTTATTACTTTGATAAGAAAATGTTTAAGATAGTTTGACGGGATTTGCATAAGGCTGCAAAACTATGAGAATGAGATGGTGGAGAACAGAAAACAAAGAAATTTAATTGCTTTCTGCAAATGTTATGATTCGTCCTCTTGGTTTCAGTCCACAAAACTCTGATTTCGAAAGCTCAAATCAATATGGTTTCTTCATGAAAGTTACTCCAAATAATTCTCTCCTTGATAGGATATCTAAAGGTCATCAAAATCAGGCTTCATTCCTTCTTTTATTTGTTTTTAAATTTTGAAGGCATTTGAGTCTATTTAAGTTTAGTTTTTGGCTATTTTTGAAAGTTTTTTTAAAAATTGACATTTATGAAAGTATGGGGTAAATTTTGGCTATTTTTGATAAAAACTCGTTGAGATTCTTCTTTTTGTATTTTATATGAATTATTTTTGCATATGTTTCAAACTTTGATTTGTAAGAATAACTCCTTTCAAGTAAGGAGCGAAGCAATGTGTTTTTTTTTTTTTTTGGTGGAGTTGTTTTTTCAGTTCACACACATCCAAATTCAAAAAACACAAACAGATTATCTCAATCAATCCCAATAATTCGTTCGTGCTCGGCTGGGTTTGGATCTATTGTTTGTATCAATATGGTTTCTTCATGAAAGGTTACTCCAAATAATTCTCTCCTTGATAGGATATCTAAAGGTCATCAAAATCAAACCACTGTAAATCTCTGAAATTTGGTATGAATTGATGATATGACATGATCAGCTACTGGAATTGGATTACCTAAAATGTTAATTAATTAGTTTAGTAATCTATAATGTTATTTGCTTTGCACTTTTGCACTTATTGATATTTGATTGTCTGTCTGTCTTAGCCTAGCTTATGCTCAGCTACCAGAATTGGATTCTGCTTACCTAAAAGTTTTGGGATTAGGACGATTTTTCTTCTTCTTTCCTCATTTACAAGTAATTAATTAATTATATATATATATATATATTATATACACTATTTTGAGCAAATGATGCTAACTAAATTCATTTTAGTTGAAATTACAGTGAGAAAATACCACGTTATGGAGCAATAATAGTTTCATCTTACTAATATTTCCCTTGTACCATGGTTGACAAAAAAGTAAAATTGCAGAATTATGGCTAATCAAGAAGTTAATACAGTCTTGCAGGCCCATCTGAATGGACGCATCAAAATAAAAATGCAGCATTACAAATTAGCATATGCCATTAGCAAATTGAAAGATAGGTAAGTCCATGGCCCAATCTCACTAATGGGACCTTAAAATGACCCATACTGTTAAAATAGACAATAGACTATGGTATATAGTGGTAGAGTAGGTAGGTGTTTGGAAGAAAAGAAAAGATACATCAATGAAAATATAACCTACGATCGCACACACAAGACTCCTAGACTAGTTTGCCAATAAATATGGGGGCTATCAGCTCCTATCTCTCTCCATGTTTTTAAAAACATTGAGAGTGATCGATATGTCTCTTGTACTTCTTAATTTTCAGACTCACAATAGATCGACAAAGTATTCACGCGTATGGATGAAAACAAGCCAAGGAACCTAGGTCTCATCATAGATCCAAACACATTGAAAAATATTACCATTAGATGGGGCATCTGCAAACAACGTAACAGATCCACGCACTAAGCCTATGTCACAGTCACAACTGGATAGACATACAGAGATAATGGGTATGAGATACATGGCTATATGGCTCTAGTGCAAGTGGGAGATTGTTAGAAATGTGCCCTAAGAGCCAATACATTTGATGTGATCTCCTTAGAATACATTTCATATATGATATATAAAGGGCAAACTTAATTTGTTATCTTTTACATCGTGTAAAGAAACAAATGTCCAGGGTATGCTAAATAAGAGATAAAGTAATCTAAAGAAGATTAGATACGGGAGACCTTTAATCTCTAACTGTAGCATCCCAAAATGTTCCTAATCATAGGTTATCAAATGGGCATTGATAAACCGTCAAGATTAGCACATATTATGTATGCTCAATTGGGAGGATGGTTAGTCTCAAACCATTTGTGTAGTTGACACTAATACAAGTATGTGGGTGCTCATTAGTGAATGAGTACACTGAACGCGATCAACCGTAGTTCTCATATGGAGTATTTATCTACATGTCAAATGAGAACTCATAGTTGCAATAATGCAAATTAATCCTTAGACCTGAGGCATCATGGTTGTCATGTGATGCGTTATTGATCTTTGATAGCTCTTAAAGGCAAGCCGTAAAAGATTTGTCTTAAGTGTTGTTGGGATCTCTTAATTCATCATAGGGGCATGTGAATGTACAATAAGGAATCTCTACTTTCGATAAAGAAGGAGAATGTTTCAAGATGTAATTCAGCAAATCTTTGGCCAAAGTATTTTGAGCTTGATTTAGAAAGTTGCTCTTAATCACGTTCTTTTGAATCACATGAGGTTATAAATCATATTAAGGGTTTGACATAAACAATCCGTACCCTAATAATATGATTTGAAACATTGTATAAGAGAAGGACCATATTGCATTGCAATTCCAACTGAATAGGTTCTTCATCTATTCGTGTTAGCTTGGGTAGCCTTGATATATTGCTAGATGTCACTCTTGGCTTGTGGAAGCCCTAGGATTGATTGTGATCGATCCAAATAAAGGAAAAATTAAAAAGGGGTTTTAATTCCAGTTGGTTAGAAAAAGTTCTAATATTTTCCCACTGCCTTGCTAATTAGAACCTAATGGATCGCACACCTTAAATGGTTAACTGTGAGTAATACAAATGAGAATGAGGAAATCAATTTGATTGATTTGATGTGGATGATCTACTACGTGTAAAAACGTATTTGGGCCTCGATAATAGTTAGAGGGAAGCCCAAATGGTTGGGTAGCAAGCCCAAGGGCTTAAGACACCTAAATATTATGGTTAAAGTGTCATAAGGCCCAATTTTGGAAGCCCAATGAGGTTTGGCCGAAAATG